CTGCTACGGAACAGCAGCAATTCACACATGCCAGTGCAGAACAAACAGTAGCCACAAAACTGTACATTAGGCCTACAGAACAGGTCCGGAAAAGGTGTGCATTTCGCCAAATTGCGGGGGGGGGAAGGTTACGTGTGAGCCCCTGCGCTTGGGGTCTCCGCAAGTTTCTTTCAGCGGGTTGCCAGAGAACTTAGTTTCAGTCGCATGCACCTGAGGCCGTCCAAGTTCCAAGCGATTGCGGTAACTTGGACTGCATGTGAGGACTGGCTTGATCCTGACTCCACGAGGTAATGTGGTGGGAAAGCCAGAAGAGGCAGTCCGCGCTTTCTCCCAGAGAGCCGGGTAACGCGAGAGTATTTGAACACATGTTGCCCAGCCAGAGGTGCGGAAAAATAGCCTTGGGCTCATCGTCACTCTGGATGTCGATGAGTGCTCCTGTATATGCTGACTCGCAGTCCTCCACGGTCCGCACTGAAAGGGCCTGCACCACCCCAGGTTGGGAACATCTGAGGTCCAAAGGATCCTGAAGCGGATCTTCAAGTCGGGCATTCACCATCTCTGTTAAATTGGAGGAGGCGCTCATCGGTAAGAGCCTCAGACCACCTGCAATGAGTATAACCAGAATATGTTATCGGTGCAGAATGGGTACCAATCCCGATTTAACGGTTTATTTTATTCTATTGAAGTTTTACGTAATTGTAGTTCTTTTCTCATATTACATTCAAGAACATATTATTTATACTACCAGGAAACACAAATATGAGGTTGCATAGAGTAGCCTAACATTCTATACATTATTATTTATTATTATCATTATTTAGTAGCCTAGGCTAAATCCACCTTTGGTTCAACAGGCAGGAAATGAGCAAACTGCCTCATGCCTATGCTCCTGCCGGTATATGTCCACGATATGGCCGGCAAACGCTAAGGCTACTGGGTGACAATGACAAGACATCGTGCGGGAGCGGACGCGGAAAAGTCGTTGTATTGGAACAAACAGAGCTCTGTGTGGAGAAAGCCTGGCCTAGCCAGCTCTTTCCATGTCGTAAGCAGACATAGAAACCGGGTATTATTCATAAAACCGACGCACTTAAGTTCGAATTCTGTTTTGTGGAATTTGTCAATCAAAATAACAAGTGACCACGATTATTAACAGTCGCGATTCCCAAAATTAACATACGACTCTCCGGTCCGCTCCCGCGGCTTTTTGTAGGGTACGTTCGTAAAAATGCGCCAGAGCGCTCCCGAGCGTCCCCGTTCCAGCAGTCCAGAGCGCTGCGCTCTGAGCGCTCACAGCTGGGTGGCTCGAGCGGACTTGACCCGTTCGTGCATTTACCGACGTACCCGTAATAACACGCCTGACAGCTGACCAACCAAGCAGAGTTGTTGGTTTCCTATAGCAACAAAAGATGCTGACAGCTGGCTTTTTTGTACAGGAAAAGACGCTGTGGCCGAGCGTTTTTCAAAATGACAAAATACTTATGCGTGAACGCCCCCCCAAAGAACACCTCAACGCGCCCCCTTTCAAAATATTGCTTCCAGCGCCCCCGATGTTTCCTGAACGCCCCCTGGCGGGTTACCGCCCCGTTGAGAACCAGTTGTCTAGTTGAAATATGACGTCACGTTCTCGTGTAACCTCCGTTGTAAACGGAGCGCGGCCTGCGAAACACATCTACAGCGTAACCATGAAAAAAAAATTTGCACTAACATAATGCAGCAGCAATATTAAAGAGAAACATCAAGACATAATAGTAAAACACTGCAAGGGAACATTTTATGCAGCCAGGAGCATCTTGGGACTTTTACGTGCGCAACGTTGACTGGCCTGTGAATAAAAAATAAACATCAGGAGGTGATCTACAGTGTGTCAAATTCTTCTTTGAACAGCCAAGCAAGACCGCAACACCCTAAGTTTCAACAATCACACTCCCTGTATTGAACATAATTAAATAGATATGTTTAGCTTCTCATCATCAATTGCTGTGGCCCCACTGAATGTTAACATTCGTAAACAAAGAACATGCCCAAACGTAAACATTCACCATGGAGACATTCAGCAACTCTCGCGAGAGTTTTACCCAAGACGGATCCTTTCCAGGCCATACCCTACCGAAGATCGTGTGGTTAGCATCTGGGCTAGCTACCAAGCAACAGAAAGGGGCTTTTCACACAAGGTGGAGGGAGAACTCTCGTCCGTCAGACGGAGAGTCGCAGAAATACTCAGCTCAGGTGAAAAAGTAAAAGACTCTCAGGTTTAAATACGTTAACTTTAGCTCTAGTTATTACAGTGGGTCTCTGAAACGGTCTGTTTTTAAAAGGGAGGATCTATGGTCAAATAAACATATCTAAAAGAAAGAGAAAACTGTTTAAACAGTTCTGTTTCATAGGGTGTGAGAGATGTATCCATAGAATCTCATTAATGTTGGGTCTTCAAAGTGCACCAGATTGGATGCTTTAACTTCAATATTTAAAAAAAAAAATCTTCCCAGGGGGAGCAGGCCCCCGGACCCCACTAGAGGAGGTGAAGGACCCTCCTAGAGGAGTTTAAATAGCACTTTACCACAAAACTTACAACACCCATATACCTAAGAGCTGATTATGCGAGCCTGCATGTAAAGTCGCAGGTACACTGTTATTTAAAGCGATGTTTTGGGGAGTGTTGGTTAAAAATTCAACTGTAGACGCTGGTGCATTAAGGGACAAACCCTTAAACGTTTGAGCACCCTCCTAATGAAACGTCAAACCTACCCCAACAGCACCCCCCTAGAGAAAATCTCCTGGCAACCGCCAACATGGTTGAATGGTCTCTGTAGATGCTGAACATAGCCAAAGAGAATGTAAGAACAGTGAAAATCAAATTGTACAGCTCAAATGCATTGCAATGAACTTTTTAAGACTTGAAAGTGAAATGTTTAAACGAAGAGTAGGAAAAAAGTGAAGAAGGCTTAATATTGTAAAAGAAGGTTTAAAAAGGTATAAACAACAAAAGTAAAGCTTCAATGTCCTGAAATAGCTGAATAATTTAAAAGTTGAATGGTTGCTGAGCTGAAAAGTAGGCTGAAGGAGTTAAAATATTGAAGATGAACCACCGGAGATGTCCACAATCCGTGGAGCCATCAAGGAGAGTAGTACGGTGAGAGTCCAGGCAGGACCGCAGAAGACTGGTTCAGACCCACGACTCGAGTCCAGGAACCAGATCCCAGTACGCCCGGGATGAGGATGCCAGGACAAACGACCAAAACAGCAACAGGATTAGCCTCTGACTCAGATCCGGGCGTAGATACAGACACCAAAAAGACATTTTGGGAAAGCTGGGTTAATCGGAACAGGGTACACAGGTACAACAGACAGAAGGAAGATAAGGTTTCCCCCCCGACAGTACTATAAGCCTATAGCAGCTAAACAGCGTGTCTAAGTACAATGCAACACCTAAGGATAGGTTTGAGGAAAAAGGGGTAGCAAGTAGAAGTAAGAAACAGAGGTGGAGAAGGCCACACGCAGCAGAGAAAGGTTCCCCACTGGAACCTTTAATTGGTGAAGAAGGTAGAGAGTAGTCTGTGGACTACCGTTCCACAACTCCCCGGCCCGGAATAGGCCTCTCGCAACCTGTTACCTAATAGAACGCGAGAGTTCAAAGAGGGGAAAGGTTTTGGATAAAGTTTTAAATATGCAGATCTAAAGTTTTTGGAAATTAAGTGAAAGAGGAGAACTAAATATGATAGTGAAGAGGCCACCAACGTGCTACGTTCAATGCACCTTACAGATTATTTATTTATCACTATAAGCTTTATCAAAAAAGGAAGGTCTTAGAAGGCGTACTCTTAAAAAACGGATAGGCTGTCTGCGCCCGAAAACAGACTAGGAAGCTGATCCACAGAATTGTGGAGCTTGAAAGAAAAGGCTCGGCTCCCATTGTACTTTTTAGAGGACTTAGGAACACACACCCTGCATTCCTGGAACGCCAATGCCCAATAGGAACAGTAAAGTGAGTTCTTTAGGTAAGAGGCGCCTGCCATTAAGAGCTTGAGGCGAGAAGAATAATTAAATTCTATCCTGTGTTCTATAGGGAGCCAGAACAGGAGTAATGTGATCCCTTTTCCTAACTCTAGTTAGTACACGTGCTGCAGCATTTTGAATGAGTTGAAGCGACTTAACTGACTTCTTGGTACACCCTGAAAATAAAGAGTTACAATAATCCAGCCTTGAAGTAAAACAAATGCATGGACTAGTTTTTCTGCATCGTTTTGAGGCAAGATATGCCTGATTTTTGCAATGTTGCGTAGATGGAAGAAGGCGGTCCTTGAGATTGATTTTATGTGGGCGTTAAAAGATAAATCCTGATCAAATATAACACCAAGGTTCCTTACAGTCTCACTGGAGGCCAAATTAATGCCATCCATAGTTAATCTTTAATATCTTTAGATAGTTTGTTTCGTAGATTCTTTGGGCCGAGTACAATAACTTCAGTTTTAGCCATGTTTAACATCAAAACGTTTAAGGTCATTCACGTTTTTAAGTCCTTAAGGCAGTATTGAATTGTATTTAGGTGATTGGTTTCATCAGGCTTGATGGATAAATATAGTTGAGTATCATCCGCATAACAGTGGAAATTTACAGAATGATTCCTTATAATATTGCCGGAAGCATATATAGTGTGAACAAAATAGGTCCAAGCACTGAGCCCTGTGGCACTCCATGGCTAACTTTGGTTTGCATGGAAGATTCATCGTTGACGCACACAAACTGAGAGCGTTCAGATAGATAGGACCTAAATCAGCCTAAAGCAGTTCCCTTTATGCCAACTAATGGCGCATTTCC